GAGTGTATCATGAAAAACATTTTTTTTCGCTATTCAAAATTTTGAGACCATAAAAAGTTTTCGCTGTAGTAACATACTCTCCAAAAATATTTAGGTCTTTTAGAATGAGCCTACAGTTAAGTTCTTTTTTAAGCTCAAAAGCATACATTAAACATTTTTTTCCCTTCAAATCATAATACAAATTTTAGTTTTTAAGTTAACAAATGTACATAGGGATGATTGTGATCCCAACTGAAAAATCCTGAACATTTCTTCAGTAAAATCATTAATGACACGTTTCAAAAAATTATCGTCTTTTTTAAATTTAAACCATTGATATTTTCACAACATGAAATTCTAAATAAATTACATGCAGCATAATTCAAATTAATAATTATGTATAAGTTTATTTTTATTTCTAATCACATTTATTATTCAACCAGAAAAAATAGTTTCAAATGGAAGAGATGTCAAACATAAATTCTAGTTCTAATATTTTTATATATAAATGTGATACTTCTTGAAACTTCTGGACTTAGGATTTCCAGAAATTTCTGGATCGCGGTTAGCGAAAAATCCAGATTTTTTCTGGAGCACAATCATCTCTGTGTACAGTAACAGTCGGGTATGAGATTAGAAAATACTGATCAACCCAAATCATGAAAAAAAAATAAAAAAGCACGTGAAACTATTTTGCTCAAAATGTAACCATTTAAATTATTTACATATTTATTTAATTTTTTTTTACTGCATATGTATTGTTTATTTACCAGGAATTAGCATTTGGTTCCCTCATTGTCACCTGACTTTATTACGCCATTTTTGGGAGAAGGATGGGAACAATTCCGAGAAAAGTTGCCAATTGGCGATCATATGACGAAAATATTGATATTAAACATTTAAAAAAATTTGATCGAGTCAAGTTTTACTTAATATATTTTAAACTTATTATTCTGAGTATTTATGGTAATAATTAGGCTATGTAAGAACATTATGCATAATGATTCTTTTTATATGACACCTGCTATTGAAGAACTTCTTCCCAGTTTCATTACAAATTCACTATTCCAAATAGAGGGAAGCGGTTAAGAAAAATAAATACTCAATACAGCATTTTCTTTCATTACATTAAAGTTTAGGAAGTTAGGAAGAGTCTCATGTAAAAATATTATATTTAAACTTTCTGTAATATACTTAAATATCTGGAATCTGCATAGTAACCTAACCTATAGATGGAGTTGAAAATTGAAAATACAGTTAAACCTGAAAAACAATTATTTCTAATTCAGATTCCAGGTGACCTAAATAATAAATTTCATACATAACTTGTTAAAAAAAGAATTTTCTTTCTAAATCTTAAATTTTTAAACTTAAAAACTAAAATTTGTATCATGCTTTTGCTTTGAAAAAAAAATTAAAATTTTAAACTAGGGGTGCACAAGCTTTTTAAGTGAAAGGCCACTTGCACAGCAGGTAGATTAACAAAGGGCCGCATGCATATTTAGTCATGTCCGCGGCAAATATGATAATTTTTATAAAAACATTAATGCTCTAAGCATTAAATATTTCTGTCAGAAAACTTAATAACATACTTCAGAAAATTAAATACTTTTAATTATTTGAATTTATTTAAAACTAAAACAACCAATACTTTTTNTCTCAATAATTAGTTTATTTACCAATATATATAGGAGAGATATAAATTCTTATAGAATGAAAGTGCTAAAAATATACATATTTTATAGAGTAATATAAATTTGAATTAAATATTTTAACTAAATAAAATTTATAAAAAAAACTTAATTGAAAGGAAATTTTTTATACATTCGGAAGCTCCTGCGGGCTGCACAACAACAGTTGGCGGGCCGCATGTTGTGCATTCCTATTTTAACCAAACTTTTTCACCTAAATAAAAAATTTAAAAAAACTTTTTCACCTTATAATGAATAAAATTTTAGGCCCATTGTACAAAATCAAAATAATTTTTTCAATAAGGCTAATTTTTTTTTCAAATAGTGACAACTATTACATTGTCAATGAAAACTTTTTACAGCCTTAAAATTTTTATATGATTACATATGTTTTCCATTTTTGTACACAAATGATGAGCTGATACATATATGATATCTGATGAAAAATATACATATTTCATGCAACAGATGAGAATGTCTGTTCCGTATCACAAAAAGATATTTCATATCTAACAGGAACATCAACAGTACACAAGTGGTTTCCGTTACTTACACCCAAATTAGGATGTAATATTAGGATTCAATGTATTTTTCATTCAATTTCAGGCCAAGGTAAGGAGGATTCAGTTCAACTTCAGGCCAGGTAGAGCCCAGTTTCAGATTATGGACAGGACTGGACTTGCTATCTGTGGAAATAAACCAGAACAATTAATTTAAAATCTTATTCAGGGTGTATAACCAAATCTTTCAACAAAAAAAAGTACTTTTTAAGCAATTAAAAAATATTTTTAAGCACTATATACATTAACAAAAGGCAAAATAATTTTCAAAGACTTTACATGATCATGATAAAATAACTAGTTTCTGACAAAGAACTCTTTTCTTGATTATATCAGCCATTATAAAATACTGGAGAGACTTTTCAGCTCGATATCAGAGGGTGGAAAATGAAGCTTGAAATTGAGAATATCTTGCAAAATGCAGCAGAGTTGCACACAAGCAGGGTTTGTAATTTTTTTGATTTTTTTTCTTTAAAAAAACAAAAAAAAATCTGATTTTTTTTTATTTAAATCGGATTTTTTTTATCTATGTACTCATTGGAATTTTTTTTTTCTCAGAAAATTTCTTTCTGATAATGTCAAAGATGTACACTGTAAACATGCACACTGTTACCAGTTAATAACCCTACTGCTTTAAATAGAGTTTAAAGGGGAAGAATGACACTATATCAGAAAAAAATATCTGAATCAATCATCATTTTTATTCTATTTTTGGCAAATTAGGGCAATTTTTTTAAAATATAACCTCAAGCTATAGAAACATACATTTACCACCAATAAAATATAATGAAGATTTTAACTCCATGCTTTTTCAATCAAAAGGTAGAATTTAACTTAACATTATTTGTATTTTTTTTTGTGAAAAAAATTCATGTTTATTAATTACTTTCTACAGCTATGCAAGTCTATATTAAGACAGCCCTGAATGTTTTCTTTAATCTGTACTTTCAATTTCAAGCATTAAAAGATTTTTAAAAATGTAATTTCTAATGTGCTGGAATTTATCACACACCAAGAATGAAAGTAATTTCGTTAACTAAAATTAATTAATGCAGTACTTCATTTAAAATGAATTTTAAAACTAAGAAAAGAAAATAATAAAAGTATCAATAATTTTAAACAATGTTTTTTAATTTTTCAAATCAATATATATAAAAAAAATCTGTTGATTTAAATCAATGATTTAAAAAAAAAATCATTCGATTTAAATCATGATTTGCACATGAGAGTGCAAGAATCTCACTTATCCCAGCTCAGTGGACGTGCATGCTAACTCACAAGTATTTCACTAAACATGCAAAAAGATTGGCGCTTTCATACTCTATAGACCAATGATGCGCCGAAGTAGACTGTGGTTGGATGAATTGTGGAAATGCTGAATAGAACAATGTGTAAAGCATGCTTTTGCATACTATGTGTCGAAAATCAACATGGTAGAGGAAAAAATCTAATTTTCGAAAATGGAAAATTACACACTTTTTAAAAACACTCAATGAAAATAGCACCTTTCAGGGCTTTTAAAAAAAGAAAAAAAGCACCTTTAAGCACTTTTTAAAAATGCACCATGTCATTATTATTGGATTGGTAGAAAGTATTTTTTTAAGAGTGAAATAAAACATAAAATTTTTTTTTAAAATTTATTCAAGTGATACTTATTTAAAAAAAAACATAACTGAAGACAAAAAACATTTTTAACAACAAATATCAAACCATCCAAAAAAGAAACTAACAAACATATAAATAATCCATAGCTGGCTAAAGTTATTCCATATTTATTAAGTTAAATCAAATAGCATAAATAACCAAAAAGTAATGCTTTGAATTAAACAAATTAAATAAATAAATGAAAAAAATATAATATTTCATTAAAAATAAATAAGTAAATTATCCTAAAATAAGAAGCAATACTGTTGGAAAATGAAAAATAAAGGAAGAACTTATTAATCAATAAAATAAAAGATTAACTTTTCAACAACTAAGTCACACTAAAAGAAATACATCACCCTAAATTATTAAAATACAGTTAAACTCTGCTGAACTCCCGGACATTGTGAACGAAATGCTCGCTCATGTGCCTTGCCATACACATATAATATCATTTTTTGTGGATATAGTGAACCAAAAGATGAGAGGAAATAGGATATTCTGAACTTTTTCTGTCCTTGAGTGATTTTTTCTTTCATTTTTCGGTAATTTCAAAATTCCTACATAAAATACATATACCAATTTTTAAGAGATCTTATTGAGTGAAATGTAGCCAGAAGCATTTTTCTTATTTGCTTCTTTTATCTCAGTTTTTCATCCCTAAATCTTTTGCACGCAAGACGATGAGTAATAAAAAATATAAGTGAACACATTTTTTGTTACTACATATTGTTCTTTAATCATTTTTGTATTTCTTTTCATTGGTCATTTATTTAAATAATGTGTAATAAAAGAGAGCAGTTTGGAAAAATTAATTAAAATTGTTTGCAGTATGGATATAATCAACTCCCAGTTATAGTGAACTGAAATTTCGGCCCCTTGAAGGTTCACTAAAGCGAGGTTTGACTGTATTATGCAATAATATGTGATTAATTGAAATTAAATTATAAAAGTATCAATAATTTTAAACACTGTATTTTAACTTTTCAAATCAATATATATAAAAAAAAATCTGTTGATTTAAATCAATGATTTAAAAAAAAAAAAAATCATTTGATTTAAATCATGATTTGCCCATGAGAGTGCAAGAATCTCACTTATCACAGCTCAGTGGACGAGCATGCTAACTCACAAGTATTTCACTAAACATGCAAAAAGATTGGCGCTTTCATACTCTATAGACCAACGATGTGCCGAAGTAGCCTGTGGTTGGATGAATTGTGGAAATGCTGAATAGAACAAAGTGTAAAGCACGCTTTTGCATACTATGTGTCGAAAATCAACATGGCAGAGAAAAAAATCTAATTTTCGAAAATGGAAAATTACACACTTTTTAAAAACACTCAATGAAAATAGCACCTTTAAGGGCTTTAAAAAAAAGAAAAAAAGCACCTTTAAGCACTTTTTAAGCATTATTATTGGGTTGGTAGAAAGTATTTTTTTAAGAGTGAAATAAAACATAAAAAAAATGTTAAACTTATTCAAGTGATACTTCAAACCATCCTAAAAAGAAACTAACAAACATATAAATAATCCATAGCTAGCTAAAGTTATTCCATATTTATTAAGTTAAATCAAATAGTATAAANCATTCAAAAAAGAAACTAACAAACATATAAATAATCCATAGATGGCTAAAGTTATTCCATATTTATTAAGTTAAATCAAATAGTATAAATAACCAAAAAGTAATGCTTTGAATTAAACAAAATAAATGAATAAATGAAAAAAATATAATATTTGGAAAATGAAAAATAAAGGAAGAACTTATTAATCAATAAAATAAAAGATTAACTTTTTAACAACTAAGTCACACTAAAAAAAAATACATCACCCTAAATTAATAAAATACAGTTAAATTCTGCTGAACTCCCGGACATTGTGAACGAAACGCTCGCTCACGTGCCTTGCCATACACATATAATATAATTTTTTGTGGGTATAGTGAACCAAAAGATGAGAGGAAATTGGATATTCTGAACTTTTTTCTGTCCTTGAGTGATTTTTTCCTTCATTTTTTGGTAATTTTGAAATTCCTACATATAATACATAAACCAATTTTTAAGACCTCTTATTGAGTGAAATGTAGGCAGAAGCATTTTTTCTTATTTGCTTCTTTTATCTCAGTTTCTCATCCCTAAATTTTTTGCATGCAAGACGATGAGAAATAAAAAATAAAAGTGAACACATTTTTTGTTACTACATATTGTTTTTTTAATCATTTTTGTATTTCTTTTCATTGGTCAATTTATTTAAATAATGTGTAATAAAAGGGAGCAGTTTGGAAAAATTAATTAAAATTATTTGCAGTATGGATATAATGAACTCCCAGTTATAGTAAACTGAAATTTTGGTCCCTTGAAGGTTCANGTGATTAATTGAAATTAAATCATATTTAACCACTTACATAGTTTTTAAAAGCAGAAGAAAAACGTTTAAAGATTCAATATGCTTAAATTTTCTATTTTTAAAAAGAAATGAATCAAATAAAGATGGAACCAAAGAATTGGGTTGAAAAGGCTCAGAAGAAAACATCAACAATAAGAAGGAATTACTTGAGATAGATGGCTCTTTTTCCACAGACTCAACAGGATGACTCGTTGAATGAGGTTCAAATTTGGACAAAGCACGACTTGAATTCTTTGTAGTAGCTCTAAGTGGTTCTTCTAACCTAAAATCATGAACATTTTGTTATTCTTCGAGCATTTAAGGATTTTAAAAAATATATATACATATATAGCTTAATCCAAGCAAAAAAACGCTTACAAAAATTTAGTATTAAATGAAAAGATATAAAAAGTTAATTCCATGCGAGTCGGTGACCAATCGCTATGGGTCGTCGACACACTAGGTTTGAGGAATAAGTGGTCACCAAGGGTGCCCACTCTAAAAATATTTCAAGACTGAACTTATTTTTTTGATAAATGAACACAATCTAGAATTATTTACTAGAATTTTCAGACATTTATAGTTCACCGACTTCAGAATGTACCTTTCTATAATAAGGACTTATATATTAAATTAATTATCAAGATTTTTTTGTATTCATTGTATTAATTTATTTTTTTACAGCAAACAAGATAAAAATTACAGCTAACCTTGTACATCTTTTCACATCAACCACTGAATAATAAAAAAATTTCTTTTTCTAAGTTATACATAACTATTTATTTTTTCACTTCATCATTATTTATTTTTGTCCTATCTCCATAATTTTTTTTTTTTTAAATAA